GCCACGCGCCAAGGAGCTCAACCCCGAGCGACCCTGACGCCTCTCCCACACCTCCGGTGGCCGGCGAACACCGACTAGCGCAGCCAGGTTTCTTCCCACCGCCCCGTGCCGCTCCTCTTCTTCCCCTCTGCTAGTAATCCCCTCTCATATCTATCTTTGTGGTGACCAGTAGGTGGCCGGCGAGATGGGCGGTGGCAGGCGTGAGGGGCGGGGAGGGGCGCGTTGGTGGTGAGCACCGGGTGGATCCCCCTTCTCCCATGGCGGCTTGGGTGGCGGTGAGGGAGAGCTGTGTGGTTTTCCCGGCTGTGAGGGGGAGGTCCAGGGGGCCGGATGGCTGAAGCGGAGGAGGCGAGCGTGCGCGGCTACTTCTGGGGTTCGAGCTCCGTCGCGCGCCAGTCTATTTGCGTGCTGTCGCCGCCCTACTCGCCAACTCCTGCCCCGGGAACGACGGCGGCGGGCCGGCGGGTGTCCCTGGTGGGGCTCGGCCTCCGTGGTGGGTGCAGGCGCGGGCCGGAGCTACTCGACCCGGTGGGCAAGTGCCACCCCATGTTCGTCGTCAACATCGATGGGCTTGTGGTCGTGGGAGGCAACAGCTTGTTCGTCAGGGCGTCGCGGTAGCCCAGCAACTACTGCAGTCACGACGACATCCGCGTGCTCGATGTGATCTTCAGGAAGGCCCGCCTGCTCCGTGCTCCTCCGGCACCCGATGCCATGGAGGTTTGATTTTCCCTCTCTCAGTTTCGTGTGTTGTGTGTTCATGCACACGACAACAGGGAGATGATTTTTGTTTGATCAATCATCTGAGTACAGTTTTCAATCTGATAATTTAGCCTTTGTTTAGAATTGGATGGATAGTCTATAGTTTCCACGGGCAGTTTTCGAGCATGCAGTGATGGAAACTTTAGAGTCATGGCAATTTTTGATGATGCCATAGTAAATTTCAGAGGCATGGCAAATTTAACACCCATGGCATTTTAAGTTGGTCACATAGCTTAAACATGTGTACCTGTAGTAGTACCCTAGGTCACGAGGCCTGTTAATTATCTGGTGTTGTTATCTATAGAATACATGTGGTTAGATTGAGGTCAGAAATCATGGCGGCTGTTAAACTTTTATCGATGGCAATTCTATAACGTATATTTCTATTTATAAGCAAAACACCATGGCAAATTTAGTTTATTGACCATGGCAAATTTAGTTTATTGATCATGGCAAATTTAGTTTATTTGGTTCATGGCAAATTTAGTTTACTAGTCATGGCAAATTTCGTTTTTTTAACACACCCATGACAATGTTTATGCTTTTGTTTCTTACTTAACCACGGCAAATTTAGTTTGTTGATAATGGTAAATTTAGTTTATTGACCAAGGCAAATTTAGTTTATTGATCATGGCAAACTGATTTTATTTGATCATGTCAAATTTAGTTTATTTGGTTCATGGCAAATTTAGTTTACTAGTCATGGCAAATTTAGTTTTTTTAACACGCCCATGACAATCTTTATGCTTTTGTTTCTTAGTTAACCACGGCAATTTTAGGTTGTTGATAATGGCAAATTTAGTTTGTTGGCTATGGCAAAATTAGTTTATTGATCATGGCAAACTGATTTTATTTGATCATGTCAAATTTTGTTTATTTGGTTCATGGCAAATTTAGTTTACTAGTCATGGCGAATTTCAAATCGTGGCAAATTTTAGTTTACGTGAATTTCGCCGTGGCAAGTTTTGATACGAATCTACCATGGCATTTTTCTTGTTTATACTAGACTTTTCAACTTCTTGTTTTTTTTTCACACACGGCAAATTCATCATACAAACAAGCGGCAATTCTTGATACGAATTTGCCATGGCAATTTTCTCGTTCATATTTTTTGATTTTCAACCTTTTGTGTTTTTTACACACGTGGCAAATTCATCATACCAAAACATGGCAATTCTTGATACAAATCTGCCATGCCAAGTTTTGATACGTTTTCAAATCAGGGCAATTTAGTTTACATGATTTTTTCTGTCATGGCAAGTTTCAATATGAATCTGCCATGGCAATTTTTCTTGGTAATGGCAAAATTAGTTTACGTGAATTTCTGCCGTGCCAATTTTCCAGTTCATATTTATGATTTTTTAACATTTTTGTTTTTTACACACATGGCAAATTCATCATACCAGAACATGACAATTATTGATATAAGTCTGTCGTGCCTAGTTTTGATACAAATTCATGGCAAATTTTAGTTTGTTGGTTCATGGCAAATTTAGTTTACAATTCATGGCAAATTTAGTTTACAGTTCATGGCAAATTTAGTTTAGTGATCATGGCAATTTAGTTTAAATGATTTTTTCTGCCATGGCAAGTTTCAATATGAATCTGCCATGGCAATGTTTCTTGTTCATGGCAAATTTAGTTTACATGAATTTCATCGTGGCAAGTTTTGATACGAATTTGCCATGACACGTTTCTTGTTCATAGGTGAATTCCAAACCTTTTGTGTTTTTCAACACACATTAAATTCATCATACAAAACACGGCAATTCTTTGATACCAATCTGCCATGGCAAATCTCTTTGTTCATACTTGATTTTCAACATTTTGTATTTTTTCTCACACACGGCAAAATTCTCCTTCGAAACATGGCAATTTTGATTAAACTTTCATGGCATTTTTAATTAAAAATGCAATTGCATTTTTATATTTTATTGCCTTGTCAAATTTGTGTGTTCTTTTCATATGAATTTTTCAAAATTTTGCGTTTTTTCACATGGCAATATTGATTTTTGTTGTCATGGCAGATTTGCCATATTTCATTTTGGGCATTATATATGTGTTCATAAACCTTTGCCATCGTTAAAAAACAAATATAAACCTTTGTTCATGGTTAAACTCGAATGACATTTTCTGCTTTTTTCAAAGCAGCTGATGGCATTTTTTAGTATCTGAGCAAAATCTGGGCTTTTGTTTGTACAGAAAAAACCAAAAACTGGGCCTTTTCATTTAATTTGTTGTTAGTGGGCTTTTCCCCCTTTTTTTCACAGGGAAAAGGGATCCGGTCTGATGGAGGCGTGTGGGGTGTGGGTTTCCCTGTCAAACGAATTCGTACTTGAAATCGATCCCATTGTACCGTAGGAGTCGTGTGGTAGGATGCTCCTCCTGCCACACATGTGGGCAGTTCTTATATTCGCCCACACAAAGTCGTGTGGGCTGCCTGCAGGGTATGCCACACAGGACCGTGCGAGCGGGTGTCCATCATGTTACACGTGTGGCAGTTATCCGGACTCAAAATAAATGGGTGGAAGGAAAAAGAAACTATCACCGGTGGAAAAGAGGTTCGCCTTAAATCGATTGCAGAAGGTAAACCATCATATGCAATGTCCGGACGAAGGAATCATGCAAGCAATGTCGCATTAGTAACAAGGGATGGTGACAATCAAATAAAGATGATTGGTTCACCTGGTAATTGGTGTGCACCAAAGCGCCGAGGAGGTACAGGTTCCGTGATATTAGCTGTTTCAGTTCGGCTGCTGCG